TGTTATGCAGCTGTTTTCTTATAGTCTAGAAGGACAAAAGATGAACATTTCTGATGTTAAGTATTTTGAATATAATTTTTTAAAAAATAAGTATTTACTATTAACATCCTCTAGGCAAGAATTCCCTCCTTTGTCATTCATTACACTCTTATATCAAATATTTTATTTATTTCTTTACATGTCCATTCCCCTCATGGCTCACCGCTAAGTTTTAATTTCTTAAGGTCATCAACTATGCTGTTTTCAAATGTGTTTCCCCCTTCCTAGTATAGGACCTGTCACACAGTAGGACTTCTTAAATTACTGTTTGATAAAGACATGAATAATTTTGCCTGATAGTTTATCAGCACGAGGTAAGAGATGAATACATAAATTCATAGATGTATTTTTAAATACTTTTTCCCCTGATTAATGAAGTAATGCACATGTTGTAAAAACATTTGAGGTAATATAAAGTTGAAAATGAAATAGCAAAAATGAAATACCACTATTCAGAAATAAGCATTATTACAATTTAGCCTATTTCTCATTCAAAAAATATCCATACATTTTAGTATATACTCTATACGGAAATTTTCTTTACTTAACTTTATATTATAAGTAGTTCCTCATATTACATATCCTTTGAAAATATGGTTTTTAATGGCTCCTTTGTTTCTCTCTTCTAAGTATACCACGGTTCATTCAACCATTCTTCTGTTATTTGGTACTTCAGGATTTTCCAATTTTTGCTCTAATTACATATAAAATATAAATATGGATATCCTTATACATAAACTGTTGCACACTCTTACAATTATTTTTTTATTCTAGATTTCTGGATGTAAATTTGAAATTACTTGGTCTAAGAGAGTAAACATAGGTTCATGATTTACATTGCAAAATTATTTTTCAGAAAGGATGTACTAATAACAACCCCATTGATGGTGTATGAGATTAGGCAATTCCCCATACCCTGACCAACTTTGAGTATTAATTAGATTAAAAATTCACACACACATACACACATATAAATACATATAATCATGCAGGTCACTTAACGGTGGGGATACGTTCTGAGAAATGTGTCGATAGGCTATGGTATAGCCTTTTGCTCCTAGGCTATACAATCTGGGCAACATCTTACTATACTAAATACTGAAGGAAATTGTAACTGCAGGTAAGTATTTGTGTATCTAAACATAGAAAAGGCACAGTAAAAATACCATATAAGAGATTTAAAATGGTGCGCCTGTATAGGGTACTTACCATGAATGGAGCTTGCAGGACTGGTGAGTAAATGTGAAGGCCTAGGACAGTACTGCACACTCTTACAGACTTTATAAACACTGCATGCTTAGGCTACACTAAATTTATGAAAAACTGAAGTAATTTAGCTGTGACATTATACCAGCTATTATGTCATTAGACAATAGGAATTTTTTTAGCTCAGTTCATCTTATGAGACCACCATCATATACGCTGTCTTTGACTGAAACGTAATGATATGGTTCTATTATGTGTCATATATATATGTACAAACACACATATATATTAGTCTGACAAAAAGTATCTAATTTTAGCTTATATTTTCTTTGTTTTTCTGAGTAGGTTGAAATTAGTCATTTGTATTTATTCTCTTAAAAAATTCTGTTAATGTCTTTTTCCCATTTCTACTATTTGTGTGTTAACCTGACCCTTATCGATTTGAAAGGCAAAAATATTTGCCATTTGTCATATGTTACAAAATGATGTTTTTATTTTTGTTTATTGCCTTAGTTTTGTTCTGGGTAATTGTTGAAGTATAGGAATACTATATAATTTTACATAGTCAACTTCATTCAATTATAAATATGTATTGAGTATTGTCCCAGGTACCTTTCTAGAGCCGAGGATACAGTGGGAACAGGACCAAGTACCTACCCTCATAGAGCCGAAGACAGACGTTAAAAGACTAAATAAGTAAATATGTGATGTAATTTCGGGTAGTGATATGAAGCAAACAAAGCCAGAGCAAGGAAATAGTGATGGTGAATTGGTAGGAGGGCTATTTTAGAAAGAAAAGTCAGAGAAGTCCTCTCTGAGATATTTGAGCAGAGACGTGAAAGAAGTGAAGGAGCAAGCCACGTAAATTCTAGGGAAGATGTACTGCAGGCACAGGGAGAGGTAAGCCCAGAGACCCTCAGATGTCAGGTGTTGGAGGAACGTTAAGCACTCCAGTGTGGATCAGTGGAGTGAACCAGGAGTGCAGTAGTAGGTAGTGATGTCAGAGAGGTTGACAGGGTCCAGGCTATATACTACCTTGTAGACTATCCACAAGGAGCTTGGATTTTACTCTTAAGTAGGATGGGCAGCCACAGGAGGATTTTGAATGGGGCAAGCTACCCAATTTGAAATTTCTGGTTTATATTTTGAAAGACTACCTCATTTCTCTGTGGAGACATAGTGTCGTGAGGAAGAGTGGACTTAGGAAGGCCGAATAGGAAACTATTGTAGTAGTCAAATTAAGAGGTGATGGTTGTTAGGACTAGAGTGGTAATGGTGGAGGCAATGAGAAGTGGTTGGATTCTGAATACTTTTGGAAGGTGAAGCTAATAGAACTACTGTTTGACTGTATGTAAGTCATAAGAAAAAAAGAAATCGTGGATGACTGTAAGGTTTTTGGCCTGAACAACGATGTGTGTGTGTGTGTGTGTGTACACACATAAATACACACACACACACACAAATAGTGCCATTGTCTAAGATGAAAGGCCGTATGGAAGGATCTCGTAGGATTAGTATATGTGCCTGAATCAAGAGTTTTGTTTTGAATCTGTAACCTAACTCAGAATTCTAAAGTGTTTTACCTAGAATATTCAAGTGATAGAATTTTAGAAAAGAAATATAGCCTTTCTTCTATGTAAACTGAGTAGTTCTTTGAAGATCATTATCCCTTTACTCCTTTTTTCATGCAAATTTTTAGAAATTTTTTTATTATATATCCTTGGTAAGAGAAATTCAAAAAACACAAGAGTATGTAAAGTAAAAAGTGGAGGTCCCTACCCCTTTCCCTCATTATCTACCCAATCCTGCTTTCCATGGCAAGTTACCAACATTAGCTATGTGCCATGTGTTCTTCCAGAAGAAGCGTTGACCTTTCTCTCCAAAAAAAAAAAAAAAAAAAACTCAGCACAAATAAGAATTTCTTTCATTTTCTTTAAGAAAACCAAAGGTTAAGGCTAAACTTTTTTTTTTATATAGTAGAATATGTATATAATTTTTATTTATTTTTTATTTATTTTTTTATTTTTTTATTTTTTTATTTTTGCACATGCATGTGCATGCATATAGACAATCCCGGTTATTCAAAAATTAACTATTTGCTACATAATGCTTCCCAACTTCAGTGGAGAAATTTAAAAATTGCTGTGGCTTTTTTTCCAAATTAGCAATTAAAAATATAATCTGAGAATCATTGTTGATTATCTGTATTCAGTCCTTGGATTCTTGAACATTGTGTTAATATATTTGCTCTTTCTGGATAAATTCTTGGTATAATTGTCCTTTCTCCTACAGGTAGTTATTGAAATAGTGATAATAATGAAGCTGTATTTTTACCAGTTTGTGAGTAGGTGTTTGCTTTTGGAAGTGCCCTCTCTGTTGTTCTGGTTGTCAGTGTAGATCAGATAGCTGCCTGGACTAGCTTCCCGCAGACTTGCAGGTATGTTTCACATTGACAAAGATTGGGGGTAAAAAGTGATCTTAGCCTGTGTGATGTGTCTGCTTTTCTAATCTGACTTTGTAAGAATCTCTTAATGTCCCTTATTTACAAAACGAGGAAGGTAATAATAATCTACCTCAGAGCATTATTGAGAGCAGTAACTAATATAAATGTTTAATGACATTATGCACTGCTGTTTCTAGTATTCAGTGATGCTATTGCTGACTTTATTTCCTGAGTTGAACTTAAACATCCATCATTTATAGTGAAAATGGCCTAAGCTGAATAGTTTCCACGTATGTGTGAGAGCCCCTGTGCCTGGCTATTTAAGGCCCAGTCTTTGTCTCCACTTTCTCTGTTAACTGACATTATTTTTTTTTTATTTGTTATTTTTTTCCCCTTTGGTCTTTACTACTTGATTACCTTTTGGTCATCTTGATGACAAGAATGTAATTTAATGTGCACTAGACTCTCCAAATTCTCTGATTCGTATTGAATTTAGAAATAGCTATTTGTTCATTGATTAATCATATTTATTTCTGAGGATCTGAAATTCATTCCTTGAAGAATTTAGCAATATATGTGTCTTCCCTTCAAATGTTTATTCTTTCTTCTTTTAATTATGATTACAACTTTCCCCACAATGGTCACAATCAGCTTCCTGATAGTAAAGTACAATGGTTTTGTTGAACTATCTACAGTATATAGTACTATGTATAAAAGAAAGAGCACACATGTGGTTGGCAGACAGGTCTCAATTTAAAGACTGGGTAGTCTGCTTACCAACTACATCAATTTTAATTAGTTAATCGCCTTATTTTTTCACTTGTAAAAGAAGTTTAATAGTATTTTAGATTGTTAGGAGGAATAATTGAGACAAGATATACAAAGTACCTAGCATAAGTTAAGGTACATACTTGTTACTTGGCAATATTTTTACTTTATCCTTCTCTTTTCATCAAAATTCTCTCCGTATTTTTGCACACATCATTATTTTATCCTGGTTATGTGTTCTATCCTCATGACCACTTTTTTCCAATTTCTTCCCAGAATTTTCCTTCTCTTCCTTCTTATGTGTTGGTGTGCCCCAAAGTTTTACACTCAGCCCTCTTCTCACCCTAAGTCTTGTTTCTTGAGGCTCTTGTTTGTTCCTATGGCTTCAAGTAAATGCTAACAGCACCCACATAGTCATCTATTCTCTTTTGAGCACCAAAGTTGTATTCAATATACTTAATAGTTTTTTCTTACTTTGGATAGTGCTATGAACTGAATTGTGTCCCCCACAAATTTATATTTTGAAACCCTGACCTCTAATGTGATGGTATTTGAAGATGGGGCCTTTGAAAGATACTCCAATTTAGATGAGGTCATGAGGGTAGGGTTCTTATGATAGGATTAGTGTTCATATAAGAAGGGATAATAGAGAACTTGCTCCTGCTCTTGCTCTCTTTCTCTTTCCCTGTTTTCTGGAGCCATGTGAGAACACAGCGAGAAGGCAGCCATCTAGAAGGCAGAAAGACAGCCTTCAAGATAACCTGACCATGTTGGCACCTTGAACTTGGACTTCTAACCTCCATAACTGTGAGAAAATAAATTTCTATTGTTTAAGCCACCCAGAGTATGGTATTTTGTTATGGCAGTCTGAGCCACACTTAGGTACATAGCAAAAAAAATGAACATCACATATGCAAAGCTAAAAATCTCAGTATTTCCTTTTAAAACATGTATTTATTTCTTTTCTCAGTTAATAGTCACTTAAACTGGAATCATTGGTCCCATCTTTTATGTATGCTTTCTGTCTCTAGTAGGTTCCCAAGTCCTATTAATTTTATTTTTAAATTGTTTGTGGAATTTGGCCTGTCTCCATTCTTCAATTCTTTCAGACTAGGCTCCTTCTTCTCTTTCTGTAGTCTCTATCTTGTCCTTTACACTGTCATAAGATTTATCTTTCTACATTTAAATATGATCATATCTTACTTCTTAAAATCCTACAGTAACTCGGGAGAAATGAAAACATATATTCACACAAAGACATAGCAGCTTTATTTATAAGAACCCCAAACTGGAAACAACCCAAATATCCATCAACAGCTGAATGGATAAACAAAATGTGGTATGTCTATACAGTGGACAAAAAGGAGTAAATAGGAATGAACTATGGATGCATACACAACAGGGATGAATCACAAAATCATACTGAATGAAAGAAGCTAGAAACAAAAGGATCCGTATTGCATGTTATTATTCACATGACATTCAATAAAATGCAAACTAATATATAGTAGCACACAGAAGATTAGTAGTTGCCTGAAGTCAGGGGCAAAGAGACGGCTGGGCTACAAAGGGACACAAGGAATCTTTTGAAAATAATTAGAATGATCTGTGTCTTGATTGTGGTGCCACTTTAACTGTTATAAACATTTGCCAAAACTCATTGAATTATGCATTTTAAATGGATGCAGTTACTTAAATTGTGCCCCAATAGAGTTGATTAAAAAAAAAGTCCTATAGGGATGGGCTCTCGATTACCTTCAGAATGCAGGCCATGTTTCTGAGCAACCTGGGTCCCAATTTACTTTTCCTTCTGCTTCTTGATGTGTGCATTTGACTCCAGCTACCCCACATTGCTGACTATCCCCTAATATGCTAAGTACTTTATTTTGTTGCCTCTGCTCATATTCTTCACTCTGAATTGTTCCCCACTACCTTTCTTTCCTTAACAAAATCAAGTATGTTCTTGAAGCTTGGCCCTATAGTCACTTCCTCTGAAACTTCCCCCAGCTTTTTGTTTTCATGTCACTTTATTATTTAGTTTTGGTACCTGAACTTCCCAACAACAGGAATAATTTTTTTATGAAACTGGTAAATAGTATGAAGATAGAAAACATTTTTGGTTGTATGTTTTAATATTAAGTGGAACAATTAAAGATGATGACATAGCAATTAGTATTATCAGTGAGGAAGGTTATATGGCTGATTAAGTTTGTAATATTACTTTGCTGAGTACTGTCGTTTAGTTCTCCAACCTAGAGTCTTGATTTTGACAGTGTACAAACAAGTTATCACTCTTTCTAGTATAGACTAATAAAAACCAAACTGTTTTAAGACTAATGTATAAGCCAGAATGCAAATATGTTAATTTATAATGTAGATCACTTGCATTAAACAGATGAGAAAGTTTGTATTGCTGGATTAGCATGATCTTTGGGATGGAAAGTAACAAGGCAACCTAAGTTATAGTCTGAAGGTTGCTTACGGGGCATAGAGTTGAATCATGAGAAGTTGGTTTGAATCTGGCCAAATTTCTGTGACCCAGAATCTTTATTAACAATTTTCTGTAGCACATTTATTCTTATTTCACCTATGGCAGAAGGCGATTTATTTATTTGGCTATGTATTTATGCTACCTCGGTATGGTATCTTTTATTCTAATAGCCATTCTCGTTTTTCTCTACTGACACTTCCATTGCTATCATTTGGCCACTGTTGTTAATTTACTGACATTTTTCCCTCAAATGACATGGGTCATGGGTCAGGGCCTGAGCCTAGCTATTATCTTTTCTACAGAATAGACTGACTATGTGATAGACCTTTTAAAGGTCTGATTTCCCTTTCTTTGAAGTTTGTAGTTATGTTCAGAATGATTAAGAAAGCAACAGAAGTCTTACTTATCCCTAGACTATTCACAACTCATTATGTTGAAAAAGTTTGTTGGAACTGGACTGTTCAGTGTTAAGTGTTAGTAGGCTAGTGTTGAGAAGAGATAATGAGCAACAGTGTTAAAGCCCAGTAATGAAGGGCTTTGTCTGTCAAATGAAAGAGGCCTTTATCCAGTAGAAGTAGTAGTAGTAGCAGTAGTAGTCAGTAGTAGTAATAGCAGAATTAGTAATACAAGTAGTTCTCGAAGTAAAAGGATGATAAGGAAGATTATGATAGTAAAAGAAGAAAAATATTTATTGAATGCCTACTAGGTGCTAGATACTGTGTTATTTGTCTGGATTGTTTTATTCAATCCTCACAATAACCCTAGAAAACAAGAAATATTATTATTATCCTCACTTTACAGTTGAGGAAACTGAGACAGAGAAATTTAGTAACTTATTCAAAATTACAGAGCTAGTAGATGATAGGGCTGGATTTCTACTGGGTAATAGTAATTTTGATTGTTGAACAAATATAACTAATGATCTATACGTATATAGGCATAGTGTTGAAGAATAGTCAGAATTCAACTGGTTATATGATTTAGAGCTGGTTAGTTTGATGTTATTAAATAAAAAGTAACAGACATGGAAGTAAAAGAGAATTCCAGAGAATGCATGTATGCTAAGTTTGCAAGTATGCCACATGAATGCATGTGTGCAATTGTTTTAGGGTTGTGATGGGTTTTGAATGAGAATCATAGCACATTAGTGCATATTAAATGGGTAACAAATGCCAATTATTATTTTAAAAGTAGTTTTGCTTACTTGAGGAAAGAAAACATAAGCGGCTCTTTGTTTTTATGATCTATAGAGAAATACATCCATACATATGTAATATTTAGTACTTCATCTTTTCTTATGGAAAAACTTCAGATAACTATATGATATAGAGATATAAAATTTTGATCCTTTGGTAGCATTATTCACTATTCTGTGATCTATGCCATATTTGTATTTAATGAGTAGTATCATGCCTTGACTTTTTGTAATGAATACAATGACTTTTATAAAAAGAAAATGGCTACGAAGGTTAGAAAAGATTATAAGCAAATGTTCTCACAGAGTTACTGAAATAGGAAAGTAGAGGAAATAGCTCTTTTCCTGAAACCATATCTGATAGAAATTTTATTTTGGGGCAATTTGGGCAGATATTTCTCTGTCATTTTGGAAGGGAAATTTTAAATTGACTTTACAAAACTCCAAACACATCAGAAACTCCTGCTGTGTATTTTTGTTTATTATGGCATCCTTTTAGGACACACGGGGTTATATCAGTATGTCTTGAAGTATTACTTTTGTTTTAAATGAAACAAACACCATTGTTTTTCTTTCTAGTTTTTCAAGTTTGGTAAGACCAGAGTATTAATAATGAAATCATCTCTCTGAAATAGTTTATTCTGTATGTCCATATGGTAGGATGGATTTTCTTTTATGCCTATTCAGAGGATTTCATTTCAGTTTGTTATTAGTAATTACCCCCTAGTCACTTTCTTCATATCTTTTTTTATAACAGTTCCCTAGTTTATACCCATATTGTGTATTATTCTTCCCTGAGTGTATTATCTTATTCTTCTTTAAATTAAATCTCATCTTAGATCTGTCCTTCTAAATCCCCAAGTTGTCCATATTCATCCATGTACTTGATTGATCTTTTCTTTTCTTTTTAATCCATCCTAGCTTTGTATCTCCTGCAAACATGATCATACTTGAATTTATATTCTCCTCCAGTTCAGTAATGAGTAGGCTGGACGGACTAGTCCTTGGCCCTATGGGACTGTGCTGCATATACCGCTGGATGTTCTCAGTTGTAACTATGTTGATAATAATTCATTGCTTCCTTCCTGTCGTAGAATTCTTCATCCACTGTGCTATGCTGTTATCCAGAAAATGCCTCTACCATCTCTGCTTTCTGGGTGCTCCTGTGTCAATCATTTTCTTTTTCTTTTCTTTTCTTTTTTTTGACAAGTGGCTGGTATAGGGATAAAACCTTGGACCTTGGTGTTATTAGCACTCAAACCAACCAAGCTAACCGCCGAGCCCTGAATCATTTTTTTTCTAAGATATAGATAAAAATCATTGTGTTTTTCTCTTATCTATTTATGCCATTGCTTACTTTAAAGAAAATTGCCTAGTCTGGGAAAATATTGTCCTTAAATAGAAATTTCTCAAAAGTTTCCATCGAACATCAGTTAGTCTTTAAAAATATGTTAAGTGTGAAAAAATTTTGGAAGTGCTGCCTAAGTCTTTGCTTTCTCCATGGAAAGGGGTCTCTAGTTATTTAAATTTTAAGTAGAAAAATAATTTTTTTCCATAGCTGAGAGGATGATTTAAATATACGTGTATATTTTTTTTTCCTGAATGTGGATTGTATTTTCAGTAAATTACTCTGCTTCAAGGTAGTTTCCTGGATGAGATGCAGCTGATTTATAATTTTCAGAGCATGATGCAAAGCCATATGTTTATTTACTTCTAAAGTTATATTTTTTCCCTTATTTTCAGGAAAAAGAAGAAGTAGAGGGGATATCAGTAGGTGCAATACTTTCTGACTATCAGCGTGTTCGAGTAGAAAATGTGTAAGAGAACATTAATTTGTCCTAAATTTTAAAAGTGTACATTTGAATAAATGAAAAATAAACAATTATATGCTAATTATAAATAGATATGATACTCTACATGCCCCATGGACCTCAATGTATACCTAACTACCAAAAGTCACGCTTTTACTTTTTTCTGTCCTTATATCACACAAGAAAACTTAAAAAAAATTTTTTTTGACATTTACTTATACATATTTGTGGGATATAGTGTGTTGTTCATATACATGCATACACTGCACAATGATTCACGTAGGGCAGATAGCATAGTTTTGACCCGTTAATCCACCATTTCTTCCCCCAGCCCCCCTCCCCTCTCAGCCTCTGTGAACCATTATTCTATTCTGTACTTCTATGAGAACCACTTTTTTTTTTAGATTTCACACATGAGTAAAATAACACAGTATTTGCTTTTCCGTGCCTGGCTTACTTCTCTCAACATGGTGGTCTCCAGTTCCATCCATGTTGCTACAAATAACAGGGTTTCTTTTTTTTTTTTTTTAAGAGCTGAATAGTATTCTACAGTTTTTAATCCATTTATTTGCTGATGGGCATTTAAGTTAATTCCATCTCTTGACTGTTGTGAATAGTGTTACAATGAACAATTGAGTGCAGGTGTCTTTTCAATATATTATTTTCATTTCCTTTGGGTATATTACCCAGTAGTGGGATTGCTGGGTCATAAGTTCTATTTTCACTCTCTAAGGAACCTCTATACTGCTTCCCACAATGACTGTACCAATTTACATTCCCACCTACAACATAAAAGACTTCCCTTTGCTCCACATCCTCAACAGCATTTGTTATTTTCCCTCTTGTTGATAATAAACATTCTAACTGGAGTGTTGTGATATCTCCTTGTGGTTTTAATTTGCATTTCCTTGATGATTAGCTGAGCATTTTTTCATGTGCCTTTTGGCCATTTGTATGTCTCACATGAGAAAACTCTTATTTACCATAAGAAAAATAAATATTTTTTTTAAAAATTGAGACAAAGATTTTTTTTTCTTTTTTGGCAGCTAGCAGTATGGGGATCCAAACCCTTGACCTTGCTATTGCCAGCAAAGACCAAGATCTTTTAAAGTGAGAAGTATTATCTTCAATTTTTTCTTATTTGATTTAGTACATCCTGTTAATCTCTTTTAACTCATCATTATTTGTAGTAATAACCAAGTGCTAATAGAAGTAATAAGCAATATTTTAAAGAAAAAAATTCTTTTTAAGAAATCTGTTAAGGGCTGTATTTATTTATAGTTTTATAATTTTGACAAAGAAAAATTTATATTGACTATCATTAAAAATGTGCATATTAGGGGCCGGCCCGGTGGCGCACTGGATAAGTGCACCGCTTGGGAAGCGTGGCGGCGCTCCCGCCCGAGGGTTCGGATCCCACATACAGACCGGTTCCCGCTCACTGGCTGAGCGAGGCGTGGGAGCAACACCGAGGGTTGCAATCCCGTTGCCGGTCCCCGGTCCGGTACGGGGGCAACACTGAGGGTTGCGATCCGTTGCCGGACACGGAAAAAAACAAAAAAAAAAAAAAAAAAA